CCTTCACAGATGCTGCCAGACCTGCTGAGCTTTTCCAGCAACATGGTTTTTGTTCCTTCTTCTGCATTACTTCTACATGATTATACCTTCATCTGGATTTTCTGTATAAAACTTTGCTAAAAGTATCTTAAATTAGTAAATTGAACTTTGTATTTATTCTGCTGAACCAAGAGATGATTGCATTATATTCTTGGTTGCTGTTTGAGTATGTTTGTTGAAAGCAAATATTTCTATAACATTTTCCTTTTTTAGTTGCAGCTTTAGACATACAATGCAGTTTGAGTTTTAGTGGAGCGTCCTGTAGAGAGAACAACACCACGTAAGTAATCAATAACTATTACTCACAGCAAAGATTTACATCATCTCTTATTGTTTGGATATTCTTTATGTTTTATGATATTGAAGAAATTAGAGAATCAGACAAAAACTAAAACAAAACTGAGACATGGGATTATTAATTACTGAATTCAAAATGTTAATTAAATTTGAGTTTATCAGCAAATCAAATGAATTGAAGCAATTAAAGTAGAACATGAAATTCATCAATTAACAAACAATAATAATCAATAAACATACAGCCTTCAAAAATGAGGAGTAGATTTGGAGAAATGTTTCCATTAAAAATATTGAAATGACAGGGAAGACATACTTGTACAAAGCAAAACAAAGTGAATTGAATAGAATTGGCATTATCTAAATGAGCAAAATAGAGATGGATTGCAAAATTAATTCAGTGAAGACTTAGGCCTCATGAATTTATAGCAATCTTACACAGAATTAGTGGAAATGGCAACATGTAAGTTCATTCAAGATTGTCAGCAATGGCAGGGGCAAAGCATTGAGGTAAATTGAGGACTGATGCTAAAATTAATTACATAAATTTTTGAACTTCATGAATGGAAAATAACATCATGCCGAGTCAGGAGAAAATGAATCTTGACAGAAGAATTTTATGCAGTGGTGACGAACCTGACAACAATATCAATTTATATTTGGATGACATCGTTAAAATATTCTCATTCTACAACATGAACTGCAGGAACTTGACAGAACAAAATATGGCACTGAGCCACATAGGAGGTACTAGGTCAAATAACAAAAATCTCAGGCAAACAGGCAAGTTTCTTAAAGTGTCTTAAAGAAGGAAAGGGGAGTGGAAAACTCACTGGATGTAGAACATGGGAGGGCAGCCAGATGTGCATTCATACTGTCATGTCTAGAGCTAACAAGGGCACGGGTGAGAATTCTGGCAGCATGTCAGCTGAAGGGAAGATGGAGTTGGATGATGTTATGGATGTGAGAAAGCATAGTCTTAGTGATGCCATGGATATGTGGCTGAAAGTTCATCTTGGGACCTAATATAAAAGAAGGTTGCAAACAGTTTGGTTCGGCCTCAGTCAAGTCATCAGGAAGAGGATGGAAGTCAGCATGTACCAGGAAGTGAAAACAATGTCTTTCTTTCGTCCCAGCAATTAGTTGCAGGAAATTTCTGTTTATGTAGTATGGATAGAGGACAAGCAGTCTGATAATTTCACAAAAGTGGTGGAGTGAAGAGAGATAGGCAGAGATGGGTATGTGAAAATTGAGGCTGTGTTTTTGAATACATTTATGAAAGGGCAGCATGTGAACAAAAAAATAAAAGAAACCCAGCAATAGATTCTTTGGTAGATGAGAGGGAGAAATTAAGAAAGGGGAAGATAAATCATTCAAGTGATTATTTGGCTCTGAACAAATATGATTGCAACCAGATGAATGGACTCACACCCAATTTGATATTACTAGGGAGGAGAACCCTTGCAGCATAGTGGTAGTGTCCTTACCTCTGAACCATAAGGCCCAGGTTCAAGTCCCATCTGCCCCAGAACTGTGCAATGAAATTTTGGAACAGGTTGATTAGAAAATGTCAAATGTTAGGGAGGCATTGGAGGAGAATGTTATGGGCTATTGTATCAAAGACTGCAGATGATGTACCTCTGTCACAAACACACAGGATATCAATTGGAATTTGATAAGAATATTCATGGCAATGTGACAAGACTGAAGCCTGATTGGTGGAATTCAAATATGGTCTTCATGGAAAGATGGACACGTGTTTGGGAGTGATAGCACGTTCAAGGACTTTGGAAAGAAAGTTGGAGATAGAGTGTAAACCTGCAAAAGCATATGAGTCAGGGGTTACTTTTCTGTGGAAGAGACTGAAGAATTGAAGGATGGGGACAGTACATAGGAGAGAGAACTATGAAGAACCTCAGCTAAAGTAGGATTCAGGTGGGCATAGTAAGTTTTTTTTTATGGAAAAGTTGAGCTCAGCGAAGTCTTGAGGGGAGAAAATTAGACAGAGAAGCAAAATCAGGACCAGGCCAAGGGTGAGTGTTGCAGCAGTTTGGGATTATTGGGTAGCTAAGAAGGGAAGCGACAATGACAGCTTAGCACATGGTCAGAAATAAATGGGATAAGAAAATTCCTGTGGTAAGGTATTTCCAAAATTCTTTTGTCATGAAACCTGTGAAGTCTGAATTTTAAGCAAGAAATAACTATTTATTTGAGAAATTGACAGTAAAGAAAGTCTAAGGAAGGTACAGGAGTAATGATCCAGCATCTGAAAGAGCAAGTTAGTTTTATGATATAGGTGGAACTATTATCAAATTCATGTTCCTCAGCTTCTCTGTTGCCTATGACCTAGGAACTTATCATGCTATTTGACTTGTTGAACATTTCCAATATTTGATCAAAGCATTCTGGAGAACAAGTCATGGTACTGTGCAAGTCAAGGATAAAGCATTTGAAACCACCATCACGCAGAGGGTTGAAAGGGATGATCCATCCCAGCCTCCTCCTGAGGCTCACAGCATCACAGCTGCCCATCTTCAGTCAATTCAATACACTCTATGTGATAATAAGAACAATTACTGCCCTATCAGTCCACTCCTGATCACCAATGAAGTAATAATGAAGTGAATGTGTGTGTAAGTTTTTTTAAAATTGATTTTAATCCAAGGTTTATGTGTGCCTTTGTGTGAATATGTCTGCATCTGTGAAAACTGAATGAAATCAGCATTGAAAACACATATAAGTGTGCTGATGGTGGCAAGTGATATTTGCACAGTACAACTGTGGATCACTACCATCTCCAACAAGAGAAAGCCTAAACAGCTGCCTTTGCTCTTCAATGGCATTAACATCACTGAATTCCCCATCATCAACATTCCAGGGTTATCTTTGGCCAGAAACTGACCTAGACCAGCTATATAAGTACTGAGGCTACAAAAGCAGGACAGAGACTAGGAATTCTGCACTAAGTAACTCACTTCTGATTCCCTAAAGCCTATCCATCAGAGTGATCCCCATTTGCCTGATGTATGCCCATAAAACAACTCCAAAGAAGATTGGCACCATCCAGAACAAAGCAGCCTACTTGATTGGCACTCCGTACACCACCTTAAAAATTCACTGCCTCTACCACTGACAGGGGTAGGGACAAAAGTCTTCGGCCACATGCTTCTCCTGCCCCAGTTCCTCAGATATCGAAATGTACACAGCCACCCCACCCCTGTCCCAACTTCAATAGTCCTAACATCCTAGATCCAAGCACTGTCGGCTATATAACATCCTGGGTCCTGGTTATTGGGCCTTGATGTACACTCTTGACCCAAACCCAACCATTTACGAGATGGACTACAGTAACCCAACAAATAACAGTACAATACCTTCCAAATCTTTGAATTCTACTACTTGGGCAGGAAAGGAGAAATATGGGAACACTACAGGCTGCAAGTTCCCCCCAAGCTACGCAGCATCGTCACTTGGATCTATATTGTCTATCCTTTGCAGCCATTGGGTCAAAACCCAGGAACATTCTTCTGAACAGCATTGTAGGAAAACCTACACCACGGAGACTGCAAGAAGGCTGCTAAATAAAGACATTAATAAAACTTTCCCTATGATCAGTAGGCAACTGGCGCAATTAATAAGGACAGCTAATTGAATGAGGGATTTAAAACAATAATTAGTGGATGTGATTGTTTCTGGAAAGGCTCACATAAATTCCCCTGAGAACGTAGTGTCTTCATGAACTGCCCTAATACATTCTCAATCTCCTAGCATAGCCTCATCCCAAATGCTGTTAGAGAAGGATTTCCAAAATTTTGACCCAGTGACAGTGAAGGAACATCAGAATTAAGTGTGACTTGGAGGGTAAATTGTATGTGGTGATTCTCCCATGCATCAGCTACCCCCTATCTTTCCCATGAGGTGTGTTTGGATGGAAGGTGCTGTTGAAGGAGACATTTCAAGTTACTGCAGTGCATCTTGTGTGTGGTACACACTGCTACTGTTGTACATTGGTAGTGGAAAAGGTGAATGTTAAGGTGACGGATTGAATGCCAATCAAATGGGTTGCTTTGGCCTTGATGGCGTTGAATTTCCTGACAGTGTATTGGGGTATAATTGATTCTTGTGAAATGATACATTGTCTGAGTGGAATGAAAGAAACTTAATTGTTTTGACAACACAAACAAGACACAGGCTAATAAATTGTCTGATGATAAGATAAAAATTCGAAGGGATTCTTTGAAATAGTTCCAAAACTACCAAAAAACCATGTTTCACAAGGAATTAAATTCTTGGCTCAGAACTGACTTTAAAGTTAGCTTAGGTTATTCGCTGGATTATTTATGGAGCCATAAGTTGTTCCAAATGGATTAGAGAGGAAACATCTACTTTTCGTCCATCAAATCCACGTGAAGTCATACTATTGCTGACGATGGTACTGTTTATAGTGAAAGAATATCTATCCATTGCCATCAGCCTAGAATTCAGTAGTTTGATTGAAATGAGGTGGAATCGCAGTGGAACTGGATCGAATCCTTCCCTGGTAGAGATCAGACATGTCATCTCACAAAGAGGGGTGTGAATTTGACTCATCTTCAGGCTTATAATTGGTTTACTGCTGCAAATCAAAGTTTTCTTTCCTCCAGACCTTGTTGTTATCACTTTTCAGGACCAGATGGGGTATATGAAGTACAATCAATTCCATAGGTCTGCTCAAGCTCTGATACCACAGGCCATCTGGAACAATCCTTCCACTGTCAAGATACATCTGGAGTGGTATCGTGGCTCAGTGGTTAGCACTGGTGCCTCACTGCGCTAGGGACGTCGGTTCGATTCCACCCTCAAGTGGCTGTCAGTGTGGAGATTGCACATTCTCCCTGTGTCTGCGCAGTTTCCTCCCACAGTCTAGGGATGTGCAGGTTAGGTGGATTAGCCATGGGAAATGCAAGGTTACAGGGATATGGTAGGGGAATGGGATGCTCTTCAGAGGGTTAGTGTGGACCGAATTGCCTGCTTCCACACTGTAGGGATTCTATGTTCTGGAGGTGTACTTCAGTATAACTTCCAGAGAGGCATCTAATGCAAGCTGCACAATTTGGTCCCAGTCATAAGAGCTCTTCAACAGCAGCTCCCCCAGAAATGCATTGATTGTAAGCTTATTATTTCATCAAGAACTGCCTCCAAATCTGTGTCAATCCATCCTTGGGTCAGCATTAAACTCAAACACAAGCATAGAGATTTCTTTAACAAATAGTTTCATGGTGCACATGCATCATACGATCTTATGAAAGTTTATTCAGCGATGCCACACTATCTCTCTGTATTTTTCAATAGCCCTGTTTCACATTTTCATACTTGTTTTCTCTTTCATCAGTCAAAAGATATTAATTGGAGTTGGAGTGGCCCTATCAATACTGGTGGTTGTTGGTGTCTTAACATGTTGCTGTTGTGGCTGCAGCGCATGTTGCAAATCAGGGCCATCGCATCCAGGTAAGTAATGGTTGGATTTAAAAGGACATTTCTGTAAATAAGGTGCACAAAATTCAATGGCAGCAATTTGCATTTGCCCATTGGGGCAGATGGTAGACATGACTTCAGGAACAAAATCTCAACTTGATGCAGCACCTAACCGGAGGATGCCTTATGTTAATATTTAAATCCAGGTCTTTGAGCCTATTGTAACCATGGCCACCTTTTCCATGTACTACTGGGCAGAATATTTGTCATATATGCTCTGTGTTACAATGCTACTTGACATTGAATTACTTAACTTTAAAGAGACTTAAGTGCAATTCTCACAAAACTTAAAAATGCTCTTGTTCCTCCAACAAGAATGTGTCGACAGTTCATACCCTCCATCCTCGAATTGCCTTACCTCCTTAAGTCTATACATTTGATTCAGCTCTTTGCCACCTTCCACCAGCTCCCACCTAACACACTACCATTGTCTCTATCCCAAATATCATCACCTCTGACTAAAGAACTGCCTTTGAGTTCTGCTAATTGCTCAAAGCTATGAAAATTGGTTGTGCCTTGGTCAATTTCATTAGTTGAAGAATGGGCTGGCACCTAAAATTGGCCTAATTGACTTAGTCCCTGACCTTATTACAGCCTTGGTCAAATCCTGGACAAATGAGCTGAACTTCAGATGTGAGTTGTAGCTGCCCATGACAAAAAAGCAATGTCTAAGTATGTATCAAGGAGCCTAAACAAAATTGATGTCACTGGAAATCAGAAGGAAAGTTCTCACTGGTTGGAGAAATACCTGGCACAAAGAAAGATTATTGTGGTTATTTGAGTTCAACCACCTCAGTCCTATCTCTGCAGGAGTTCCTCAAGGTATTGGCTGAGGCCCAACCATCTTCAGTTGCTTCATCAATGAATTCTCCTCCATCATTAGGTCAGAAGTGAGGATATTCACTGATGATTGCACAATGGCAGCTCATCACCACCTTCTTAAGGTCAGTTGCAATGGGCAGTAAGTGCTGCCCCAGGCAGCAGTATCCACATCCTATGAATGGATGAAAAAAAAACACTAAAAACATCCAACATAAGCTGCTCAATTAAAAGCATCTTCTGTTCAAGCAGTTGTAAAAGTTCAACTATTTCTGTCATTCCTGCATAGTCGCAAAAACTGCACTTCAAAATGATTCATGCAATACACAAATGGGCCATTCTAAGAGTCGCATCCAACTTCCAAGTCCTAATGTGCCAATTGGATTCTCAACTTCTTTCTTATTCTAAATCCTTTTCACAATTCATGTAAGCATCATACCTGACTTCTTATTTCCTGCTAGGCCTATCCTAAAATTATCAACTCTTGCCTGAGACTTCAGGGCAAATAGCAAAGTGATATACCCTATCAGTTCCTGCCACTACTTGATGTGTTACTAATGAGAACATTATTTTTAATCAACCTGTTCAGACATGTTATAGCATACTTCTAGTATAGGAGTTACTTGAACCTTCAAGCCCAGAGGCAGGAGTACTGTCACCATGCCACCAGATATTTTAGGCAATATGTTCAGATATGCTGTGACACAGCTCTGAGCTAGGTGGGACTTGAATCCAGATCTTCTGGCCCAGACGTAGGGACACTGCTACTGCACCACAAGCCCCTCAAGTAAACACATTGTACGGTGGAACAAGTTTACATGCAGAATTGATTGTTTTCGGCTGCTCCTGAAAAGAAGCCAATCAAACAGGAATGTTTAGTTTAAAGTACAGGAGGCAATGACCTAACAGGAGAGCAAACAAAACTCTCAGATCAGTGGCACTGTGGCTGATTGCTAAAGTATAACAAAATAAAAGTAATTTAACCATCACATTAGCTTGCTGAGATAAATGTAGTATCTGAGCTGCAATCTGATGGACTCTAATGAGTTACAACAACATCCTAAATGGACATTTGGACAAATCGTGAGGAATGTTCCTGTTATGTTTGAGTGTCATGTCATCGTAAATTTCATCACCATCCATAAGACCATATAGCTCTGGAGCAGAAGGAGACCATTCAGCCCATTGGGTTTCCTCGCTATTCCATGAGATCAATTTCCACTTTCCCACCTTTATCCCATTACCCTTGATCCCCTTACCAATTAAAAATCTATTTCAGCTTTGAATATATTTAATGGCCCTCAGATCGCTATCTTCTGAGAGAACAAATTCTGTCTCATCTCTGTATAAAGTGGGCTACCTGTTATTCTTATGACTCTGGTCCTAGACTCTCACACTAGAGGAAACAACCTATCTGGAGTCACTTTGGTTAGTCCCCGAAGAATCTTATATGTTTCAATAATGTTGCCTCTCATTCTTCTAAATTTCAATAAGTATAGGCCCAACCTACACAACCTCTCCTCATATGACAGTTCATCTAAATGTTATATTAAGTAGTTTCTGAAAGAATGAGGGCATCGCTAGCTAGGCAGCATTTATTGCACGTCCCTACTTGCCCAGAAGGCAGTTAAGAGTCAACCATATTGCTGTGGGTCTGGAGTCATATGTAGGCCAGAATTGTACAGTATTGAACTGTATTGAGTTCTATTCAAACTAATTACATCATATACTCTTTGGTTAGAGAAATTATTAGTCATTTATGAGGTCCTGACATGCCTGGCTCCTGATAGTTGTAATTGTGTCTAACTCGTTAATGTTGATTGTACCTATTACTATGATGCAATAAATTATACTTTGTGATACAAGACAAAAGCCTCTTCTTGTTAAGACTCTCTAGTTGTCTATCCTCTACCACTGATCATTAGGCAGGTCCTTAGACTCAGCACATTAAGAAAGATTAGGCTGTTTGACCATTTTCTAATTTGGCATTTTAAGAGTAGAAAGGAAAATTTACCTGAGTCATGTGGCCCAGTGGTGGTGTCCCTTTCTGAGGAAGCGTCACCGGACCCGAAACATTAGCTCTGTTTCTTCCTTCACAGATGCTGCCAGATCTGCTGAACTTTTCCAGCAACTTTGTTTTTGTTCCTGATTTACAGCATCCACAGTTCTTTCGGTTTTTATTCCCTAAATCTGGACTAGAGTCTGAGTTCAAGTCCCACTTGTCATAATTGTGTGTCATAACATGTTGATTCAAAAATATTTAGAAAAGTTGATTTCCCCAAAATGACATTTGAGTTTGTAATTTTCCTTTGAAATTTTTGACTTTAGTTACAATGCCCTTCAGGAGATGCCAGTTTAAGTTTTTGTTTCAGTTTATTTGGTTTAGTAGAAAGGAAGAGGATTAGTGCTAGCTAACTACCTCAGGCACTAGCCACCAGTGGTTGGTAACCAGAAATATAACATGCTGGCAGCTGTAATTACAGCAGAAACATAGAAACATGGAAAATAGGTGCATAAGTGGGCCATTCAGCCCTTTGAGTGTGCATCGCCGTTCGATATGATCATGGCTGATTATGCAATTTTAGTATCCTGCTCCTGCTTTCTCTCCATACCCCTTTATCCCTTTAACTGCTAGGGCTACGTCAAGATCCCTCTTGAACATATGTAATGATTTGGCCTGAAAAGAATTCTGTGGTAGAGAATTCCTCCTGAATGGCTTACCCCTTGTTCTTAGACTGTGACCCCTAGTTCTGGACTTTCCCAACATTGAGAACATTCTTCCCACATTTAGCCGGTCCAATCCCATCAGGATTTTGTACGTTCCTATGAGATACCCCCTCATTCTTCTAAATTTCAGCGAGCACAAGCCCAGTCGATCCAATCTTTCCTCATATGTCAGTCCTGCCATCCAGGGAATCAGTCTGGTGAACCTTCACTGGATTCCCTCAGAAGATACAGGTCCAGTTAAATAAGTGGTTAGCCTATTGCACATCAGATACATAAATACTTGAATGAACATTGGAATTGTCACTTGATCTGAATAAGCTCACAACAGCCTAGAGAGAAAGTAGATGTAGAATTTTGTTAGCAACCAAGAGTAGCATCAAGCTGAGCTGAATAATATACAAATTGCTCACTGTTAGAAAGTCTGTTGTTGGAATAGAAGATTACATTATTCATTTAACCTGAGGACAAGGCACTTTGCACTTCTCGATACTTGCTTCAAATATATTATGTTCACAACTTTGGATAGCAAATGGTAACCTCCAGCTCAATGGTCAAATTATAATATTTGAGGTATCTGGATAATGCAGAAAAGAAAAAAAACATGTTTACATTGTATAATGTCTCTCAGAAATGTCCCAAAGATCTTCACAATAAACACTTTTGCAATCATTGCCATCAGACAGTTGTTCTATTCTGAAGCTGTATATTTTGTCTTGATTCAACAAAGTTATAATGATGTGTGGATGACAATGAATTCAGCTAAAATTGAACTTTCTGTTGATGGTAGATGTAGCTTTGATTTATTTAGTGTTTATCATGGTATGGCACTAGTCACCATTGTGTTTGTAAATCAATCACAGTTCAAAGAAATATATCAACAGAAGTTTTGTCTTGCTATATACACATTCAGCCATTGATAATTTTTTTTAGACTAAAGTCTATGCTGTCCGTGTTTAACACTTATCCTACTATAGACAACCTACCCAGAAAGAAGAGTTTTCTACATATTTCAAACTGGATTTGATAGATCCCATAGTTGCTTTTACCTCAGTGATATTGAACTCACATATTGACTGGAATGTTTTTTGTAATTGGCACGAACAGACTGTACTACTCCTCTGGGTATTATAACCTCCAAACCATAATCTTACTATGAGCTCCCCCATGTACATCACATATGGTTAAATGTCACAAAATTTTCCTCTATAGTCTCTCAAGATTGCTCTATTTTCTACCCTGTTAACCAGAAGTGGGCTAGACCCATGCACAGATACAGCTGGACTAATTCCCTGAGATGGCATAGCTCGATAGTGTTTTTGTACATTGATAACATTCCCTGATTCCACCCCATCTCTCTGTATGCTTTCTTATACCACAACCAGTTGTTAAACAGTGCATGAATATCAACATTTGAGATCATTTTACAGCCTTCTTTGGTGGTGTTTAAATTATAAAGTACCTATGCAACTGTGTGTGGTAGCCTGTCAGATGCCAGATAGGTTACACATTGTGCCCTGAAAGCCTCAGGTAGTGTAGAAATTTGAAAGCCTCTGGCTTGCAAGTCCCACCAAATTCATGTGACTGCACCTCTTCATGCATATCCAGCATAAGGATCACCATTTCCCAGAATGTTTAAGACATGTCTGGCATTGTGTTCGGGCTTCCCATATTTCAGAGACACAAAACAGCCGACAGCTAAGCAGTCCCTCTAGGCCTGCACAAAATGGCTGACAAGTGGTTAAACAGAATTAAAAACCTGCTCCAGCATTTGAGTGTGACACAACGGTGCCTTTCAAGAAGGGGTTATTCCGAGGCAGAAGGGAGCCTTGCACACACAGGGGCAAGGAGATTTGTTAGAAACAGTTTGATAAGAAAATGTCCAAGGACAGACAGTTGAAGATTTGAAGGGGAAAGTAAACTCGAGCAATAACAAACACGGATGAACTAATGGGATTATGGCTTGTAAAAATCTGGAGGTTCAAACAAGTAAACAAGTTAATTAAACTATGGCAGTAATTGACTTTAGTCTCAGTAATGAAAGGATGTTGTACCAGTCGGTGAAAAGAGTTAGTCAGGATAAGGACAATAAATCTCAGTTCAGAAGACAGCAAATGGCCAGCCTAACTTATTGCGCAGCTGTGAAAACAGCAGATAATGTCATTTTTCAGTAATTAGTTCTTTCTTTGAAATTATTCTCAACGTTAAGAAATAGGTTCTAGTTAAAGATTCTTCAGATAATCTCAGAGATAGATTTCAATGTAATTATAAATACACATTTATAACAAAATACAAAGATCACTAAAAACATTAGGGGAAAAGATTAAAATATAGATGTGAAAGTTGATTCAGAGAAAGTAAGAACTGCAGATGCTGAAGTCTGAGATAACACAATGTGGAGCTGGAGAAACACAGCAGGCCAGGCAGCACCAGAGTCTGACTCATGATGGAAAATGACCACTGGCTTCAAATGCTGATCCCTAGGAAGGAACTTAAAAATCCTAATTGGCTGCTTGCTTCCATGGAAGAGGCTGCTCGTTTTGTTAGATCACCATGGCGAAAGTCTCCAGGGGACTGGGAAAACTCAGCCCATTTCCTCTCATATGGAGTGAAGGAATTTGTTATGAAATCATGTACAAAATGCTTTCTTCATAACTTTATGTTTCATAATTTACATCACACAAGTGTTACTTGAGCTGGTGAGAGCTGATTTTACCCTATGTTTATCAAAGATTGGATAAATAGATCACTTTTATAATGCCCAATTTTTGTGATTGACATATCTTGTCTTGGAGCCATTTTATGTTATCTAGGCTCACACCGCTGTTAATTTGACAAGAAAATATTTCATTTTTGACAGAGTAATTTAGCACACAGACAAGATGAATTGACTTCCAACGTCATGAGCTGAGTCAATGAGAACTAATTCTGATTGATAACCAGAATCAGAACCAACAGGGGGATCTTTAGTCACTCCATTAAATCAGAGTGAAAAGGGTGTGTGGAACATGAGGAAGAAGCATCTTCTCACGCAGAACAGAACAGAAATTTCAAAATCTCTTTCCATATGTGGATGCTTGTGGGCTAAATGTTTGAGCAGTTTCTGTGCAAAACCTGCATATTTGAGGGAATAATAATGATGGCATAACCGGAAGGCTCCATCATCAACCACCGACAATGTTGAAAGACAAAGACCCTGTTCGATTTTTGATTTCATTCATTCAAGCTTACTAACATTAAGAAACGATAGCTTCCTTTTGAAGTGAACAGTTGTAGGCAGTGAAAAGAGATGATAGATGCTGTGGTCACTCCAAATATGTTGAGAAACCAGTCATACACATTCAGTATGGCTAAATTGGAGGGAAATCAAAATGACTAATTTGAACAAAATATTTAGGAATCTTTACATTATGAATATCTTAGTTCATTTTAATTAATTCATGAATTTTCTGCCTCCTGATTTGTTTCAGCTGTTGTAACCACTGTAGCTTGTTCACAACAAATGGCAGCTTATCCACAAGTCCAAGGATATCAGCCTTTGCCTCCTCAATGCTATCCTGGACAGTTAGCAGTTCCCACAGTTCCGTATTCTAATAATTATCCAATGGCATATCCAAATCTTGGACTACCACCAGCCCACCAAGAAGCAGCTTCATGTAAGTAAATTGAATGTTCCATGGTGCATTTTAAGTTGATGATTTAAATCTTCCATGCGATGAAATGCATTTGCTATTAAAAGGTTACGTTTTTCCAGTGGGAAACTTTGAGCTTCCCTAACTGTTAATTTATAGACCCTATTGTTTTAAGTGAACGGTTGCATTACTTACAAACAAAACTTTATGATGGGCAATAAATGCTGGCTGGTCAGGAACACCCACATCCCAGGAATAAATAAACAAATCCTGGATCTTACATGAAATAAGCTTCTCATCATGGACTGAAGAAGTATATAGAGACTGTTGGTGGGAAGTTATTTTCAATGATATAGGCCCAATTATGTTGATTAAAAGAAAACTGCACTGAAGTAGGAAAATTTGTTTCTTAGAATCACTACAGTGCAGAAAGAGGCCATTTAGCCCATTGAGTCTGCTCCAACCCTTCAAAGGCCATCCCACCCACATTACTGAACAATTTAGCACAGCCAATCCACAAACCTGCACATCTTAGACTGTGGGAGGAAACTGGAGCATCCAGTGGAAGCCCACGCAGACATAGGAAGAAGGTGCAAACCCCACGCAGACAGTTGCCCAAGGTTGGAATCAAACCCAGGTCCATGATGCTGTGTGGCAGCAATACTTCCCACTGAGCCACTGTGTCTACTCTTTTACATGCATTTCTAATTTGAAATATGGATTTATACCAGAAAATAAGAGAGTTAATTTGATCCTTATGCAGGTTTCTGGCAGATATAGTTGGTAACAGTAAGCTGGACAATAATGGTGCTTGATCGTGCCTCACTTGTTTTGGGACATGAGTACATGGGTGAATGCCCTGGGATGTAGAACACTGCAATATTTTGGCAGTCTTCCCAGCAGCCTGACCAAAGCAGCTAGGCCCAATATGGATACAAGGAGACAATGGAATGTTTGGAGGCAGTAGGATCTGGAGCAGCTGTGGATGAAGCTGGAATTGAGGATTGTAAAAGAACACCAGTACTCCTTCCAGCCTCAGTAGATGAGGAGGAACTTGATTCTCAGTGTGCAATGCAAGCTGTGAATGCCTATTTACTTAGTGAATTACAGCAACAATAACTGTTCAATTAAGAAAACTGAGCACAATAGGTGCAAATCCTAATTTTGACATTTGATCTCTATTTATTTTCCAAATATCTCTTGAAGAGTCATATGGAAACTTCATTTGAAGTTATGATTTAAGAATCAGGATTCCATTTGTACAGATTGCTGGGATTTCATGTCAGTTTACAAATTGTAAAAATTGAAATGCATTCAGTATCCTTTACCTATTTGTCCAGTGGTAATGGCTGTTTATTTTTGTTCTCTTGTTACAGTGAATCAACCTCAATGTCATCCTGCCACTCCAGCCCCAATCCCTGGGGTTAATCCAAGCTTTATGGATCCGGTGAAGCCACAAAATTGAAAACCTGACCAGCTCTGCCTTCAAAATGCCGACGCCTACTTTCATTCTTCTGCCTATTTTTTTTCAAAATTTGACAGAAAACCACTCCAGTACTTTGAACACACAAATGCTCTACTACATCTTGGCCTTGAAAGCTAAACAAGGAGAAAGTTACTTTAGAACATTGATTTGCAATGTGGGATTGTTCCTTTGTTCCCATTGAAAATGGGCATTCAGTTTTTCAGTGCTAGCCCCAGGCTCATGGACCAAATGGTCTCTATTAGTGCTATACCTTCTACATGCATATGAATTATGAGCTGAAGTAAGCCACATGGCTCCTCAAACTTACTCTACTATTCAATAAGATCTGAATACACTATATTCCTGCCTAGTCCTGATAACCTTTTGCATCATCCCTCCTCTTTGCTTAACTGTATACTTCTGCCTTAAAAAGATTCATATAAAAATATTCTGCTTCCACCTCCTTTTGAGGAAAGTAACATGGCCAAGTGTGAGAAAAAGGTTTTCCTTATCTCCGTTTTCTTTGGATGACCCCTACTTTTTACACGGTGAAGTCTTAGTTCTATTCTTCCACAAGAGGAAATATCCTTTTCACATACACCTTCTCAAGACCCCTCAGGATCTTATATGCTTCAATCAATGTCACCTCTTACAATTTTTAAATTCCAGCCAATCTAAACCTAGTCTGTCCAAACTTTCCTGGATTTCCAATTTAAGCACAGCGGCCACCTGATGGACCGGCCTGCTCATTTGGGTAGAGGTCGGGTCCAAAACGAAGTGCACTCATTTTGTATTCAGTTACAATGCTGTCTCTGAGCCATTGAATCACACAATCAAGTCAAAGGGACCCTGTCATCCTACTTTGTTGACATAAGCCCTGCCACAATGCACAATTCTACAGTTCCTCAGAAAGATCCTTCTAAAACAACATAGAAAATAGGAGCTGGAGTAGACCATTCAGCCCTTTGAGCCTACACTACCGTTCAATACAATAATGGCTGGTTGTCCAACTCAGTACCGGGTTCCTGTTTTGTCCCTTTAGCCCTAAGAATTATATCGAATTCCTTCTTCAAAATATCAAATGTTTTGACCTCAATGCCTTTCTGTGGCAGTGAATTCCACAGGCTCACCACCCTCTGGGTGAAGAAATTTCTCCTCCTTTCAGTCCTAAGTGGTCTACCCTGTATTATTAAACTGTGACCCCTGGTCTGGGCTTCCCGGTCACTGGGAACATCCTTCCCGTGTTTACCTGTTAGAATTTCATAGGCTTTTCTGACTTTATCCTTCTAAACTCCTGTAAATATAGTCCTAAGCAATCCAAACTCTCTTCACCTGTCAGTCCTACCAACCCAGGATGAGATGACATCTTTGCTGTCTGTATGTTCGGAAGTAGGGACTCAGAACTAGCTGCCTACACCTTCGTAAATGGTTCCTGCTTCAGCTTAACTCCACTCTATGCTCCTCCTCCTCCTCCCTCGCCCCAGTGATATAAATTAAGAGGTCCATGAAGAATGTTATACCAAATCCTAGAAGTTCTATAATGTGTGGGAGGGGTGAAATTCCAAACATATGACTGAGTGCTCACTGTACAGAAGATTAGTGTGAAGAAAGTAAAGGATTTTCTAATCAGAAATCAAAATCAGCAGCCCATCTAAAATAAGGAAATAAATAATTAAAGGATCAATTGACCCCAATATTTCCCAGTCCACGTCATAAAACAGTTGATGAGACTAGACTAATGCGAGTGGGCAATCTGTTTTCTTTTAAGCGTTTCATATGGCAGGAAGGAAGGGTGTACAATCTTTGTAGGGCATCCTTCACCCATAGGGGACATGCCATGACAAGTTAAGGAGTTGATACAGTGGTAATGTCACTGGACTAACAAACCAGAACCCCAGCCAATGTTCTGGGGACATGTGTTTGAATGTCCACCTTATCAGGTAGTGAAATTTGAGTTCAATTAAAAAGCTGACTCAATGGTGACCAATGGGAAATCTGCTGTCTTTACCTGGTCAGGCCTACATGTCACTCCAGATCCACAACAATGTGGTTAACTCTTAGGGTACATTTTGGGGAATTAAAGATGGACAACAAGCCAGTGATACACATGAAAAATAAACAAAAATCTCTTCCCCCTTCCTAAACAAATCCTCCCACCAATGCCCACTATTCCCCTCGGTTGGGCTTGCATTGGGAGCTTCCTGCCTACAGTTTCAGCAGTGACCACTATTGAGCTCTGATGCTGACCAATCAGATTGGTTGGCAGCTTGAGAGCTTGGGACTTGCAGCCTCTGAGGGATGGAGCTCTGACTCTCCAGCTCTTCAGCGTCAGCCTGCAATGGCTTATAGCTGCGGGGGGAGCTTCTGTTGGCTGACCACGGGTCTTTCCTGACACTGTGTAGAGGTGGAGAAGAGATAATCAGGCCACCACCCCATCCCTATCCTCCTGTGCTACAGCCCTGCGACATCTACGCTCTCTCAAACTTTATCAGTTTGTGGTTCCCCTGAGTAGAATTATTGTGTCATACTTTCAGCTGTCCGTCTTAAATTCTGGAATTCCATTCCAAAACTACTCAACCCTCACTCATGCTCTGAAGTCTGCCTTTTCCACCAATCTATCCAAACGTCTTCTAGTGCAGTTCTGCGCCAAGTGTTGTCTCCTAAGCCTACTGCAAAGCACATGGGGGAATTTCACCACATCAGATATGTTGTATACAATATATTGTTATTGTTTAACTCTTCAAAAGCTTCAATGCACCAAATCTTCTCACTTGATCTGATGACCCTGGCAGTTGCGAATTATGTCCCATTAGTGAACAAATACTGAAAGCTTGCAGTTGTATTGTCCATTTCTCTGGTGTATGAAAACCTCGCCCATTGAACATGATGGACTAATTAGGGATCACTTGGAAACTCATGGATGAGAGGTACTTTAATAGCCAAAAATAGATTAAAATCATTTCCATCTGCTATTCCTGCCATTGCATAGTGAGAAAATTTCCCCATTCAAAGTGTTTAATATAATGATACATTTCCTGTGAGTTTACTGTTTCTGAAGGTTTTCACTTCAATTAAATGTTATTGCAGTCATTTCCTAGCTTAAATTTTGGCATCTCTAAAACTATGGGTGCAAATGTGAAAGTTCAGGTGCAGCTAGAAAATTATGCTGCTTTTATTTAGGATGGTGTGGTGATGCCACACTTGTTTTGCTTTAGACTGTTTCAGACAATGTATTTACTCAATAGTTACAAGTTTAAAGAGTGTTTTTGATCAACTTTGATGCGCATTTAAAATCTGTGCTTTTTATAGCAATTAAGTCGTTTTACTTTTCATTAGGTTTGCTGTGTGTGATCTTTTGTAATACTTTAGGAGATGCTTGGTTTTAATGAAAATAAAATAAGTAATCCATACATTCCTAAGTTGCAATTCATGATCTTAAAAACTGTGCAAAAATTTGCAAGCATACAATAAATACAATTTATTTCTGAGCATTAATATTTCTCTACATAAGGATTACAGAATTGGTGGAATTTTCCAATTTGGAGATTTAGTATGGCATCGGGCATTGTAAAGGTCAACACTTGCGCCAGGACCTGGAATGTGTTTTCACAAGCAATCACATCCTATTCAGCACATGACGTGCAAAGGGTTGCTTTTTCCTCAGAGAGAGAAAACTGAAGGTGATTTAACCTGAGGGTCACCATGCCTCAGATGAGGGGAGAGGTTGAGAAGGAGAATCCTTCGTGGTAACCTCAGCTGGTGCAGGGATTGAACCCATACTGTTGGCATCACACTGCATTGCAAACCAGCCATACCAGCTGGCTAGCATTTAAGTAAGTTGAATTGCAAATCTTACTGTGCAGGGGTTAACAGGAATTTCTCACCCCCTCCAGGACATTGTGGGGTCAGAGTTCAGTCACTATACTTAAAGGTGAACCAGACAGGTATTTACTCACTGGAGGGACTCACAGGATTTCACAAAACAACAGTCTGGATTGTACTGTATCTTTATTGAGCTGCTGTAAAGTGGATGCTTGCAGTGAGTGTCTCATGGTAGAGATCACATTACAGCAAGCCAAGAAGGCACATTAGTGCAGTATTGCGTTTCTATCCCAAACACCTTCAAACAAAAAGAATTGCATCCATTACTGTTTAAAATTTGACCTACCCAAATTGACAAAACTGAAATCAATTACCCTCATGTACTAGCAGATCATTCTTCTCATTGGTCTCTGCAAATTTATTGCACACTAGGGGGCTGAATTTCACCCAAAATTAGCTTTATTTATTTTAGTGAGATTCATGGAGGGCTTCTTTTCATGGGCCCCAGAGGGTTCCTTACACTCTTTTCCAAAACCTGCCTCATTAGCTGTGCACCACATCTCAACAGCATGCTGCTCGCTCTATCTTCCTTCTCTCCAAAGCCACTGCCAGGATGTCCTAGGATTTCCACTACCTGTGCAATTTTTTAAGACCAGTTTAAAAATGTTGCTAGCTAGGAGGTGCCCTTTAGCATGCACTGAGTGAAAGGGGAACCAAAAAGAAACAATTCTGAGGTCTTATTGATGATACAGCTAACATCATCTTACACAAACAAATGTACATTCATAGATATGTTGCTACTTAAGAACAAAGCTACGCACGGTCCCTATCATTTGCATCATTCCACCTTAGAACACATTTTTCAAAGGGTTCTTGTGTTCACTAGCAATCAATTTCCTGCCAAAGCACTTTTGGAACAGGGCAATGAAGATAATGTACCGGATACAATCATCAGGCCAGCAGTTGTCAGCCCTTCTCATGGTGTGAGCGAACTGGATACACCTTGCTGACCCTTGCTTGGGCAATGACATATCTTCTATATAAAGTCACAAGAATAAAACTTTTTCCCATGGATACATCTATTTCTGGACAGTGAAGCATATTTTGAATATAGATGAGTAAAAGCAGCGGCAAAAGTCTTGACTCTTCTCCCACATTACTTCAAAGAACATATTTTAAGGAATTAAATACCAGCCTTCAGAATAAGCAGGCACAATACTTGTTTCCAGGTTATGTCCCCCTAAAGGATATATGCTACCTTTTCTATCGGCACATTTATAGTCCTCTATCTGGGCCAATGTGATGGTGAAAATGGAGGTGTACTAATTTCAGTAAGTTTGGCGCTGATTAATACCAAAAATTGAAGGTCAATGTACAACTAAACACTGGGGTGGGCAGAGCCTTCAAAGAGGGAGATAGAGCTATTTGGATGAATAAAGATAGTTGGGCGGGGAGGGGAGAATTTTCAATAGTTTCCTGTTTTCATTCTAGGATTGTGATGTCCAATCCCAATGAGGCAGGTACCACATGAACCTCACTCTCTTTCTACTGTGTAACATGAAGTACAAGCAATAGATCATGTGACTGTAGGCCTCTCACTTACCTCCTGTAAGGCCTTTTCTTCTCTCCAATCTTTCCCTTCCATATTACTGCTATATTCCTAAGTTCTGTCACCAGGCCAATAGTGTATCATGGTTCTTGTTCTATACATGCTGTCCACACATCACCATAAAATCCAGGAGGGGAGTCATGAGCCATGTGTATAGGCAGGTGGCACAGGTCAGCAAAAAGCCAATCTCTGCTTTCTCCCGACCTTCAAGGATAGCAAATATGGCTGACTCATAGACAATGAATGCATTATGGTTACATCCATGCCAAAGATAAGCCTGAAGCATTCACAGCAATCTTCAGCCTAAAGTGCCAAGTGGATGATCCATCTTGATCTCCTCCAGTGGTTTTTAGCATTACAGATACCAGTCTTCAGCCAATTCAATTCAAAAATCCTTGGAGACACTGGACATTGGAGAGGCAATGGGCTCTGACAACATTCTAGCAATAGTACTGAAAAATTGTGCTCCAGAACTTGATGCTCTCTTAACCAAACTCTTACAGTACAATTACAACACTGGCATCTATCTGACAATATGAAAACTTGCCCAGGTATGTCCTGTACATAAAGCAGGACAAATCCAACCAGCTAATTACTGCCCCTTTGGTCTACTCTTGATAATGAGTAAAGTGATGGAAAGTGTCATCAACAGTGCTATCAAGCAGCACCTGCTCAGCAATAACCCGCTCAGTGATGCCCAGTTTGGGTTTCGCCAGGGCCACTCAGCCCCGATCTCATTACAGCCTTGGTTCAAACATGGACAAAACAGTTGAATTCCGGAAGCAATAAATGCTGGCCAGACTGTGCCTCTCATGTCCTATGAGTGAATAAAATAAAGGATTGTGAGAATACACCGGTAGAAATAGAGATGATTGTATATGGCCTTATACCATTATGCAGACATGATTACAAGGGAATCAAACCTGAGAATGGAATACTCAGCGGCATGTGACATTTCCAAAGGACTCGCAGGATGGAAAGGCTGATGGGGTACTTTATTCATCCAACATGGAATAAATACAATAGCAAGAAATTATTTTAGATCAGAAGATGAAGAGTCCAAATGGGAGAGTAAGGACTGATAGAAGACGCCAGCGGGATTAGTCTGTAAGAACCTCAAAAAGGTAGCAATAAAAGAGAACTCCAAAGAATAAATCAGAAAATAATAAGCACATATAAAACAGGTAGTGCAAGGATCATGGGAGACTTTAATCTTCATGTAGATTAGGAAAATCAAATTGGTAGTGATAGCCATGAGGTAAAAATGTTTTTTAGAGAGTATGTGGAACAGGTTCCTTTAAAAATATGGTGCAGATCAACCAGAGATCAGACTGTTTTCGATCTGATAATACGCAATGAGGCAAGTTTAATAAATAATGTCAGAGTAAAAGACCCCAAGGGAACAGTGACCATAACTTGGTTCAATGTAGCATTCAGGTTGAAAGGGAGAAACTTGGGTCAGAAATAACTGTGCTTAACTTAAATAAGGGTAAATTCAAAGGAATGGGAGCAGAATTGTCTGGTTTGGACTAGGAAATAAATTTAACAGGAAAGACAGGTGGTAAACAATTGCAGACATTTAAGGAAATAGTCCATGATTCACATCAAAAGCATGTGCCAGTGAGGAAGAAGGTTTCTAGGAAGGTGATAAATCAACCATGGTTGACTGAAAGAAGGTAGGATGGCATCATTTTAAAAGAAGAAGCATGAAATGTATCAAAGATTAATGGTAAACCACTAGGAAGCAATATAAGAACAGACAGTGAGAGCATCTTTAAATGTATAATAATGAAGAGAGAGGTTAGAGTGAGCAGGGGACCTTAAAGAATGAGACTGGGGAATCATAATTGTGAAAAAGAAAATGACAGAGGAATTAAACAAATTCTTTGTACCATTTTTCATGAATAGAAGACAGTAATAGCATACCAAAAATACTAAACAAGGGAAAAATGGGTGTGGAATAAAATGCAATTGATATCAGCAGAGAAAAAGTATTAGGGAAACAAAAGGTTGATAAGTCTCTGGACTTGATCGGTTACATCCTGGGTTATGAAAGGCAGTAACTCCAAAGATAGGGGATACACTAGCAGTAATTTTCCAAGAAGCCTTAGATTCTGGAAAAGGCCCAGACGAATGGAAAGCAACCAATTAAACATTCTTATTTTAAAAGGGAGAGAGCCAGTAGCTATAGATTAGTTAGCTTAACATCTGTTATTAGGAAAATGTTAGGGCATTTAGAAGTACATAATATATCAAGCAGAGTCAGCGTGTATTCATGAAGGGAAAATCAGGCCTGACAAATATATTAGAATTCCCTTTGAGGAGATAACAATAGTATTAAGTGGAACCAATGGGTGCTATATATTTAGATTTCCAAAAGTCGTTCTATAAATACTGCATGTAAGGCTCCTTATTAGGAGTCCATGGTGCTGGGGATAGTATGTTAGCATGAGTAGAGGATTGGCTAATGAATAGAATCAGAGAATTGGAAAAAGGGAGCATTTTCAGGATGGCAACCAGTACCTCGCTGAGTATCACAGGAATCAGTGCTAGGGCTGTGCTGATCTACAAAGTGTATCAATGATTTAGACGAGGGAGGTGATTGGACTCTCACCAAGTTTGAGATGATACAAAATAAGTAGGAAGACAAGTGTTGAGGATGACACAAGGAGTCTACAGAGAGATATAGGCAAGTGTGTGGGCAAAAATTTGTGCAGCGACAGGTAATGTTATAGCATACACTGAAACCCACCTTTGTGAAATGTAACCACTATGGTTGCTGCTCCTGATTGAACTGATGGTAAATGTTCGCTTTTGTACAGGGCCTTCTATTGAGAGCCTCCACTCCCTCCTTCACCCCTCCACATAAAAGTAGCATGTAGTCAGGAGGGAAAGCATGTGGTGGACAGCTCATCATCTTTCTGACACCACCAAATAAAATCAGGAGCAGGGAAGCCAGTCCACCTGCCTTTAGGCCAA